GTGTGTCAAGTTTAGAAAATGGGATGAAAACCCTTCTTTAAACAGTTCTAGTTTACACTGAAATGCGGTCATGTGTGCATTCAGATCACACACAGTTTGGTGTTTCCCCTGCAAATTTGTGTTCAAGTGGTTCAGATGTGAGGTAATGTCGGTAAGGAAGGCCATGTCGCAAAGGAACGCAGTGTCTTTGAGTTTCCTGTTGTAGGCACTTGTATCACCACGAACACTCTCCTCCAAAAACACAGGTATTTCGGAGAGCAGCGCAAAAAAACGCTCAAGACACTTCCCTCGACTCATCCATCGGATATCGGTGTGCATTTGTAAATCCCCATATGCTGCGTCCACTTCATCCAAGAAGGCTATAAATCTCCTGTGTCTGAGGGACCTTTTCCCACCACGGATGAGATTTGTTATTTTAGTCACTAAATCCATAACGTGGCTAAAGTCCATCGTCCTGGCACATAGGGCCTCCTGTGGAGATAAATGAAGATTACATTTAACCTTTAAAATTGGCCTATGTTTGTCTTTCATGTCAAATAATATCTCAAAATTAATTAGTCCTACTAACCTGGTGTATGATACAGTGCAGTATAGGGCAGTTCACTCCGCTCTGTTGAAGGAGCCCTGCAAATCCAGTGTGTCTCCCTTGCATCGGGGGTGCACCATCAGTTACAACCGCTGACAGCTTGTCAAAGCCCCCATATGCGCTTACAACATTTTGAACGGCATTGAAAAAATCCGTGCTCCTAGTAGTGTTATGCAACGACACCAATTTTAACAACTCCTCATGCACTTCAAATAAACTGTCAATAGTTCTTGTAAAAATCAGTAGCTGGCTAACGTCCGTCACATCAGTACTCTCATCCAAGGCCAAGGAGAAGTACTTGCAGTCATGCATAACTTGTTTAATCTTTCCCTCGACATGAGTATCAAAAACTCTCCGAGTCACCGTGCGACGAGACAATGAGACCGCTTCAAAGTTTTTCTCCAGGTTATCGTCCCCAAAAGCTTTGGCCATTTCAATGGCACACCTCTTTATAAGTTCGCCATCTGACAAGGGCTTCTTTGCTTTGGCAAGCTAAAGTGCAACTGCGTAAGATGCCTTGAGAGCAGACTCCTGTGTGGTTGTGGCTCTGGTAA